TGGACGTACGCGAGCGAGACGCGCTGTGGCGCAGCCAAATTTGGCCAAACCCGCGTGCATTGATTTCCGTTCGCGTTGAGGAAGCCCCCGCTACTCGAAATCCTTTTCGCAGTTTCTCCCTTTCTGTGCTGCTGTCGCCACCTCACCGCTATCTGTAAACGTCAAACAGTCGACGGTCAGACTAACGCACTCTGCTTACGGAAGAATCTGGTCTTCCTGATACTGGGTTGCCGGGCTCGTTGGCTGCAAGCTATTATTACTCGGCGACAGCTTATCTCTAAGCTAAAGCTTTGCGGATACTGCACATCCGCACATGTGTTATTACGCATATCAATAGTCACGAAAGATGATATATGTGGACATTTTCTTTATGAATGTTTATTCACTAAAGTGGATTTTTTATGGGCGTATATTCGCGACACTGCATTAATGGCAAGACTAATCATTTTTTTATATGTTATAACTGATAATTCGCTCTATCCGCGTTCATTAGATCGACGTCTGGCTACCACCTTTGCCAGTCCGTGTATAGTTACCCAGTAGCCCCTAAAAGCGCAAATGGTCAAGTCTGCGGGTAAACTAAATTGTATTGCTTTTTCGCGAGTCAGTTTGAGCGTGAACAAAAAAAAAAAGAACGTATATGTAAGGAAGTCAAAGAAAGGCGGGTGACAGGTTGCTTGCTGACGTTTTTTTTTTTTTCGAGCTGCGCTGAAACAATACAAGACTATTGTGCACCAAACGCGGCTAATCATTGGGGTCTGCACAAATTCTGTTTGATATCAAATGGCAGCCACGCCTACGGGCCTGTCTAGTCTTCCTTCCCCGGTTGCTGTGTCAAAGGGCGCTTGCACTTCAAGACCGGCCTTCTCTGACGGCTCCTTTTCTTCCAGTGATTGCTGGTTGCGAAAAAAAAAGAAAGGGTAATCTAAATTTCTAAAATCTAAAAGGCGGACGAATGTGCGTCTTTAGCCGCACAGACACCAGTTAAACAGATTCCCCTTAAAGATAGCCTCGTGTAGCATTATCATCAAAATGGCAGAAACAATGGGACTCCTGCACAAGTAATAAAGTGCGTTTAATGAAGCCCACAGTGGGCGAATGGAAGTCATGTGCTGACCAAGAACAGTTCATTGAGGTCATCCTATGCCGACTCCGCAATGGGCACACTCGCCTCACTCAGAACTTTTTGCTTAGAAGAGAAGATTTGCCGGATAGTGCAAAATGTCAACAGCCATTAACGGTTTTACATATTCTAATCACGTGTGCATACATTGAAGCAGAGAAAGACGAAAGCATTTCAAAGCACTGTACAAACACCACACACCGGTACACCCGAATCAAATTTTAGGAAATGATTCACTTCTTCCACTGTCTAACGTTGTCAATTCCCTAAAAGAAAGGGGATTCATCCATGAGCTTTAGAATTAAAATGTATATACTTGTTATCACCAGGTACCTTGTGTTTGGCGCAGCTTAGCGTGAGTCGCTCCTGCCTTAATAACCCAATGTAACTAACTAAATTTCTTTGTTGCGGAGAGTGCAGTTAGATGCTGACTTACTTGCTGCCCTATGCAAAAAAGATAACCACAGCGGAATTTTCATATTTTTTTGTCATTCTGGTTTTACTGCGCTGTCTTTTCATCCGTTGCGGTGCTCGTTTCTTTCTCTCCCATTTCTTTACTTTTGTGGGCCTTTCTGGGTAATTGCGGGGTCAGTATATACGTTGCCTACGCCTTCGAGGTAGACGGTATTTCTTTTTATATTTGGAGGGTGCATGGTAACATGGCCCATTTCGAAAATCTGGGATATCTACAGAATTATCTGAATTCCCCTCGTTCTCTTGACCCCTGAGCCACAAAACCCCACTAATCATTAATTCACCTCGTTGTTCGCCACAGGAGTTTCATTTTTTTCATCCCCGTCTGATAATCGACAATATAATGCTCGAAATATTCTCACGTAGCATTGTTCACACTTGTGATTGTACAGTTTCTTTGGTTTTTGTTTGTTTTTTCTGATAGGGCTCAGATCAAATGATTTACTCGCTAGTGTACGCGAATGCCTTGTAAAGCGATTTATTTCTTACTGCTGTTGCATTGTTGTATGTTTAAATAGCATATATTTTTCCGCATTTGCTATAGCGAATTTCTGGCTTCTGTGTGTACAAAGGAAGCGCATTAAGAGCACTGAACGCTGTATTTGTTCGCGAAATTTATCTCTCCATTGGGTAATTAGGCAACACGTTAGAAAGTTCTGGTTTTCGGGTCGGGAAGTGAACCCGACGCTCTGCGTGACAGGACATGATCCTTTTTTTTTTTTAGGGAGAGCAGTGTGGGCACCGCTACGCGACAGATGAATACGTACGTCTCATGCGCTGAGAAGTGACAAGTTGGACTTGTCTGACACGAAAGTGCTTTTGTAGTATCCGGCAGTGCGTTGTAAGTGTAGAGCACCTTACGGCGGAACAGTGGCCAGATGGTTTCGTTATAAACGATAATTCGTTATGACACGAATATCGTTTGATACTAGGTGATGTGGCAATCGCTTTATTTCGCAGTATCCGCGCTTGATCTGTTGAGGATCGACTGTTAATCGTGAAAAGGTGGTTTGTGTAAGTCTACGCAAAAAGTTCTGAAAGGCAGCATGAAGACAGAGGCGTGGCAATGAGGCATGATGTTGGCTTAAGATACCTCGCTTGTACCCATGCATATTTATACATTTCTTCATTCGTTGTGCTTACTTACGAAACTTGAAAGAAATGTAACAAGAGCTCCGCAACTGCCTGATTGAGTCAGCAGAAAGGAATTGTTATAAAAATTCCCGTTAACTCGTTAATGCGATGGTTCACTCGGGAGGAGCTTGTTCTCTTTACGGATCTTTCGCTTCTTTATGCTTGATTGTGCCGCTCAATTTCTGGTTATGTCGACCCAGTTGTGCTGAAGTGGCATTCCCTTGAACCTGATATTCAGGGCAGCCGAAAGCCACCTTACACATCTATCTTGCAAGCGTCGTTCCTTGAACCGATAGATGAGCGCACACTTTTTTTTTCTCCCAGCAGTCTGAGTGAGGTCGCATTTCGCGTGACAGGTTTAAATTTTCCTTTTTTTTTAAATTTCGATCACTTTGATCCAACAGCTGTGCAATCTTTTGTGCAAGTGACCCTTTCCAAACCGTTCGCAAGTCACGTTTGATAAGGCTGATATTCTCGAAATCCATTTTGCTACGAAGTGCCCTGCCAAGACCTGCCGTCGCGTTCGCACTGAGCGAATGACATTTGCTGCAAAAGACGCCGCTAAGTAACTGACGGCTGCTGCGATGATGTCAAGGCCGGGCTGCATGGTGCGAACTTTGACGACGAACTTTGCGTGCGGGATCTTACGGTACATTCGACAGGTCGTTTTCGAGCGCTCCGATGGGTCCGAAAAATGCACGTAATATAGCAGCTAAGCGCTGCCCCCTAGAATAATCGAGGCAGTACTTGATTAGGAAGGAGGGAAACTACCTGCATGTCTGCTTGTTGTCGTGAAGCCTTTAACCCGCTGAATTCATTACTTTCAACTACGGGGAGATCGCTCTCAAGCAACCATCCAGGTGTTTTGTTAGATAGGAGCGATAGACGAGTGGAACACCTTTGTTCATCGAACCTTCAAGACTCGGCTCGAAGAGAAATGGACGCAGGACCGCCGCAACTGTCTGGTGTATGCCCGAAAGTTCCAACTCTTTGGGAAGTCTTTGAAGACGTCGAAGAACTCAAGCAAGCAAAATCCACCGAACAATGGGAAGAGACAGCGCTCGAGGATTCGACGTGGGAACGCCTACCAGACACGATAAGCGAGAAAGGGAATGGGTGTAGGGAGGCAAGAATCCATAGCCTCACTCGAATGGCCCACGTAATTAGGGCTGCCACGACGGAACATTGACGGGGGGGCTTCGGATTGTCACGCACACATCATCGTGACTCAGCGCTGATGGCTAGGAAAGAATTGCCCGGCGTGCTCTTGGAAGTCGCAGCGACGGAGTCTGCGTCTTCTTTTGGCGGCAACAAGTGCCATTTGATGAAGAGGAAAGAACCCCGCGAAAACAGGCTTCTTCCTCCCTCGCCTCCCGCTCTTCTGGCGCTCGTTCCCTCTCCGCATTCCTGGACCTGCTGCTGCTGCTGCTCCTGTTTGGTTGCTTTCTCGGCCGACCAATGGCAGCAGGGGCGCCGTGTGAAGCGGAACGGGACGAGTCTGCCGAGGAAGAGAAGGCGCATTCGGCGGAGGACGACGCCGGCGTGCGCGATGATGAAGAACGAAACGCTGCGAAGCCGGGCCGCTGGGGGGAGGGCGCATCGCCCGCCTCTGAAGCCGTCATTTCGCGGGAGCTTTCAAGGTTGCGCGCGCTCCTTCGAGCCATAGCAGCGGCGGCGGCGGCACTTGAATGGCGGCGGTGGAGGAGAGAGAAAGCGGTCTCTGCAACTGCTGCCGGGAAGAAGGCGGCGGTGGGGGCCCCCGCGCAACGATAACGACGCCAAGTAAACAATAAAGAAAAGAGGTTCTCGCCGGCACGAAGTAATCGGGGCTCTGGCGCGCGCCGGACGCTGCTGCGAGCTGCGTCGTGCCGCGCTTGTTGCAGCAACGGCAAGAGCGCGCAATTTCTTTGTAGCTTCATGTTGCGCGCGTACTTTTTGCATCACGTGACGGGCGATGCACGCTCCTCTCGTACAATGGCGCGGGATCTCGTGTGCTCTTTCTCACTTCCCTCCCCCTATCTCCCCTCCCGTTTTTGCTGCTCTTCCTCTGATGGAGAAAGCGTGACACTCTACCTTCGAGGAGGAAAGAGGTTGCGTCGAGAGGGCACGACGCCCGCGCGCTCGAAGCACCTGTCGTCGAGGCTAGTGGTGGTAGTGGCGCGCAGCCTCGCTTTCCGTTGCGTCTCTCTCTCCTCTCTGTCTACGCGCCCTGCGGCAGTCTGCGCTACGCGGCGCTCTCGTCGCAATCGCGTCTACCCTCTAGACCGGACGCGCTGCGCGCGCCGCCCGCGCACACTTTCGTCTGCTGCCTCGACTCCGTTTTTCCTGTCCGTGCGCGCCAAGCACTTCGCTGCTGTGGCCGCTTCTCTTTTTATTTCTCCCCCACTTCATTCCCCCGTCATTCTTCTGTCACTGTTTCTTCCTCGGATCAAGCGAGCTGTTTCTCGGTCACAAAACTTCGTAGGTGCGCGCCAACCACTTCGCCGCCCTCTTCCTTCTTCATCTCCCAACTCCGGTCCTCTTGAGCCAAAAGGCCATCGTCACAAGTCGTCTCTACGCCTGTGTCTTCGGGCTAAATAGCCCGCCACCCCCAGGGATCTAACGCTTCCTCCGCGGCGTACTCGTTCCCGAAGTCATCAAACCCATCGCCTCCTCATTCACATTCTTCGTACAACTGCCAAGGCTGGAACCAGACTTACGCCGGACTCCTTTGGAAGAAGACCTCGGGGAAACTGTTATCTACGCGGATGAAATCTACTGCACTCACAAACTCGGATTATCTACTTGGTTCTGAAGAGAAACCCACCGCCGTTACCTCGCAAGCTTCGTCCCGTCCACTTTTTTCTCGTTAAGTCGGCGGCTGCAGAAGTACTGCAATAAGTGATATCCCCGGTGTTGTTGTTTCTGGTGTGTTTTTATTACGTGTTATACGTGATTCGTGTGTTTGTCGTCGTATTTATTGAGCATCGTGATTGAAAGAGGTGTGCGAAGACCTGTCGCGCAAGAAGTCTACTTACCCGACCTGCTCTCGCAAGCTTTGTTGTGAGACTCGACGTAACTTAACGGGTGTGTGCTTCTTGCTCAAAAGAGACCGCGAGAAAAGTGGGGGTCCCTACCACCGTTTCGACCTTGAACGCTGCAGGTGTTCCGAGACATTTTTTTTTTGCTGCTTTTACGTCAAGCCGGCCTCGCCTCCCCGCATAAATCGTGCCAGGTCGCCTTGTGGAATTCAGGCCCAAAAACTTTTCACTCGGGAGAAAAGAAGCCTTTGCTCGAGGAGGAAGATCTTTTTGTAACGTTGCGGCTTCAAGCGGCGTGGCACAGCTACAACCCTTTTCTGGAGCTCCTTTTTATTCTGCGGCGTTTGAAAACGAACAGCCTACCAGAAGAAAAGATTCGCATGTAGAACCACCGCACTGTTAGTCGGCGGCGTGGGTGTTATTTTTCGGTTTTTCTGGCCACGCAGTTGTGCTTCCTTATTCTCTGGAACGGTGGGTTCCGGTGAGACCGTACCAACGACAGATAGGAATCGCCGTGTGCTTTTTTGTTGTTTTTATTTTGGGTGTGTGAGCGGTGCGACGCCTACTTTGAGAGTGAGAGCGCGAAAGTTTGTGAAGAGGCGTTCTCTTTTCCCAGCGTGTTGCCAGTCATCTGTGAAAGAAAGTGTGAACGAGAGAGCAAGTAACAAAAATGGTGAGTAGCCGGTGCTTGTTTTTTTTTTTTTATCTTGTCTTATTTTATATTAACTAAATGAAATGCCGGTAGTGTTGTCTTCGTTTTTACTCTTTTTGTTGCGTCGTTTTTGCCTTGACGCGTTTTGTCGACCGGCTTTGCATAGCCTTCTCGCAACGCCTTCCCTTTCCTACGCTCTCTGCCTCATCTGACGCCTCCTTTCCATCGGATTCTCGAAAGCCGGTCAATGTGCTGTCTGCTATGAGACTTCTCCGGTTCTGGGCTTTTTTATTTCCTTCTTTATTGCCCGATCTCGTCGCTGGAGTGAATTTTGTTCCTCGTCGTGCGTCGTAAAGAGCTCAGCGTGTTCTTTTTTTTTTAATGTCGACGGGTTTTCTTGGGATATTTGAAGGGCACAAGTTTTGGTCTGTCCGTCACACGGCTTAGACACGCAGCCAGAGTCGCTCACTTCCAGCCATCTTGGAACTCGTGGCCGCGTTCGTACTTGTGGAGATCGTCAATCGAAAAGCAAATAATACGCATATCTGAGGCGAAACATCGATATGTAAGTATTAGGTGGTATGTTGCTTTACTAGAAGACACACAGGAAGGTGACTTGAAAAATATTCTGGTGTTTCATCATCAGCAGCAGCCTGACTACGCCCAGTGCAGGACAAAGGCCTCTCCCATGTTCCGCCAGTCGACTCGATTCTGGGCTTGCTGCTGCCAGTCTCTCCCCTCACACGCTCGCCTTCTCTGGGAATCCAGTCAGTTACCCTTAATGACCGCCAATTATCCTGCCTACGTGCCCGGCCCATGTCCATTTCTTCTCGATTTCAACTGATACCCCAACAACGGCAGCGAGTTGGCGACTTTTCGAAGGTCTATGTTTGTTCGGAGAATTGTTTTGCTTGACGTTACGCTTTTGAGGACACATGTGCGGTCAAGATTGAAGAGTTATAAACATCTCAAGACTCAATAGAAAGCAGCGCGTTTTCGCCTGCTTCGGCTGGTAGTCTTGGAATACACATCAGCTGGCATAGACGGCATCAACACCAAAATACTAAAAAGTACAAAGCAAATCACCAGTGTCATTCTCTCTCGCGTATTTCAGCAATCGCTTTCCACTAGTACACTACCACATGACTGGAAGGTGGGAAAGGTCATCCCAGTGCCCAAAAAAGGTAACCCAGCGTCACCGAGAAAAAACTATCGTCCCATCCCACTAAAGAGTGTATGCTCCAAATTAATGGAGCACATTCTTCATTCACATATTGCGAAGTTTCTCAGCTCGGTTAATGTCTTTCATCCCAGTCAGCATGGCTTCCAGAAGAGCCTCTCTTGCGACACTCAACTGGCTCTCTTCATTAACGACATCAGTTCTAGCCTTGATACTAACACTCCCGTTGACGCGCTGTTTTTGGACTTTGAAAAAGCTTCTGATAAAGTACCCCATAACCGCCTATTCCTAAAGCTGTCTCGCCTAAACCTTCATCTTGTTTTTCACTGGATACGTGATTTTCTGTGTAACCGTCAGCAATTTGTCTACGTTAACAAGCGCTCCTCTTCTCTCACACCTGTTACATCCGGGCTTCCCCGGGGAACGGTCCTCGGACCCCTGCTTTTTCTCGTATACATTAACGATCTTCCAACTAACATTTCTCCCGGGATACGATTGTTTGCGGACGACTGCGTGCTATCCCGCCCTATTAACAATAACAACGATGTTTTATGCCTACAATCTGACCTCAGTCAAATTGAAGAATGATGCCGCAAGTGGCTTATGTCATTAAACGCATCGAAAACCTCCCTTCTCACTTTTCATCGAAAGAAGTCATACCCGGCTCGCGATTATATAAGTGGCTCTATAATATCCCTTGTTAACACCTACAAGTACTTAGGAATTAATCTCACTTCTGACCTATCATGGCACACCCTCATAACCAGCATAACAAATTCTGCTAATCGCGTTCTTGGTTTCCTGCGGCGTAATATCCGATTAGCACCCCCCCCCCCCCCCCCCTCAGTCAAACTTCTAACGTACTGCTGCTTGGTAAGGCCGAAGCTCGAATATGCATGCGCCCTGTGGGACCCATACCAACATAATCACATTACCATGCTTGAATAAGTACAGAATCGTGCCGTACGTTTCATTTTTTCTGACTATTTCTAGAACTCTAGCTCATCTAAATTCAAATCCCAAGCCAACCTTCCCAGCCTTGTATCACGCCGTCGAGTCGCCCGCCTTTCTCTCTATCGTAAGTTATTTCACAAGCCGATCTCATTGCTCCCGCACACCGCCACTGAAGCCGGACCAACCACGAAAAGACCGTATACCCCCCTGAAGCCCACACTGTCTTCCATGCCTCCTCTTTCTTCAACCAGATATTAAGGGACTGGAATGACCTTCCACCAAGGCAGTGCTTCATTCCGACCAAGCCATCTTCACTGAAGAGCTGTTTTTGTAGATATGCCCACCCCTCATGTAAAACCCCTTCCTTTAGGGTCCTTTGAGGTATCGCAAATAAATAATCTCCGGTATGGAGGAAAACGCGATGGGAACACCTAATCCATTGCTAGAGGACTGCAGCGGCGACCGGGGAGCCGTATACGGGAAGGTCTGTGCACTAGACAGAGCATAAGTTTTGTTTGAAACTACGAGTTGCTACCTGCGGAGCGTTTTTAACCGCCCGCCGTCGCTGGACCTTGTGTTCCGGCGTTGCCACCATTCCAACCACGGTGGGGACTTGTGCGCGCGTGTGTTGTGTGTGGCACTTTGCCGTTTTGTCGAGCGACATGTACGAGCCGGTCGCGATCTGGTCATGGGGGGTTTTGGCGTGCACGCAAGCCAGCGCTCTGTCGCTTGGAAGTCGCGGGATCTGTACCAAGCGTACGCAGAAAACAGTTGGTTCGGTTGTGAAAGAAGGCGAGGAGGCCTATACGAACCATGAACACTAGGAGAACCAGACGATGCACCGGCTCAGGAAATCTACACAAAAGGCGCGCTATGTGGACATGCAGACACACAACTCAACTGCGCCATGTTCGGGCCGTCTGCCAACAGCCCATTACTTACCGTCTAGTTCGACTTTCTTCGTTCTATCGTTCAGGTGAGCGTTTGAGCTTGTGTGTATATATCATATAATCATATCGTTGGTGAGGATTTATCTAGACAAGTGCGATTCCGGCTGTACGTTCCAGGAGAGAGTCTGTCGCTCGTGAGATGGCAGCTGCGACGAAAGGGAAACACTCCTTCGTCGCGGATTGGAAGATACTAGTTGCCGATAATAAAGTGACTTCATTATAGGTGTCCTAATGTTTCACAAATTAAACAACTCGATGCATATAGCCCACCTGTCAAATGGTCAACATTCATATTCATAGCGCTATCCGAACACTAGAGTAGAGGAAGAGAAATGGGAACGGATGAAATGGATATCTGGGCCTAGCTGGTGGCCACTGCAGCTGTGGTGTTCTGCATAAATATGCAAAAAACCGACGCCGCTATGATACAAAACATGGTCACACCGCATGCCAGGCCTCGTGCTATAATTCAAACGTGAGCGGAAGATGACGGCTAACGCGTGGTAGAAACCGCGGTCAACAAACAGTGTCGACAGCCACGCGCTCTGCTGCTCCAGAGAAGTGTGATTCCATCAGTACTGTTCCTCAGCTGTGCTCTGCGTGGCCGCTTATCGTCGTCAAACTTTCCTGGAAGTTTACGACGTCCGGTGACGGATCCTTCTTGGTGACTCAAAGAGCCGCGCCTCGCTCGACGCAGACGGTATGGTATGAGTAGTGGCTACAGCGCTTGTTTGCGCTATCGCCACTGATGATGATACGTGAGAGAGTTCGCAGGAAAAACGACTTGTGCTATCTCGCGGTGTGTCTATACGACATGTGTAATCTAAATAAAGGTCTGTGTCTATTTTCACGGCAACAGTGCAAATGCGGGTGGGCCTATTTTGCGGGCAGCCGTGCCGCTGTACCGTACAGCTTCTATGCATGTACCTCCTTGGTCGATTATTGTTATAACGTCCGAAATTCGCTATACGATTTTGAGAGACGCCGTGGTAGAGACGTGGATTTCTTTAACGTGCACCCAAATCTAAACTAACCTCAGGCCTTGAGCGTTTTCGCCTTCATCAAAATTGCGGCCGCCGCAGCCGGGATTCGATCCCGCTACCTCAGAGTCGGCAATCGAGCAGCACTATAGCAAGTAGACCACCGCGATCGATCATTGTTTCTGTCACGTTGCTGATAACGGTGCAGTTACCGCGGTACCGATTCTCATCCGCACGGCGCATTCGATATTGCCAAACGCATTACGACGAAAAAGGGAAAACCAAAATAATTAAGTTACGTTGCCAATATGCCCTCGTGTTTCACAGCCTGGGTTAGCTTTTCAGGAAGCGGGGGTAACTACTTCAAAGGCGCCCCAATCTTTTTGCACCAGTGGCATTTTTTTTGCGTATTTTCAAGAACTGCGCAGCAGACAAGCGTTGGCGTAAAGAGAGGGGGGAGAAAGGCGAAGTGAAAGGCGGGAGGGTCACCAGATCATTTTTTTTTTTGGGTCCTGCAGTGGGGAACGTAGGCGTAAGGGGCACAAGGGTAAGGAATGGAGCAACAAAATAGGATGAGTCGAAACGCACACAAGCGTAGACCTTTAGGGATGTCGCTGACAGACAGCAGGTATTTCAGCTGCACTTCTGTCACATTCTGTTTGGCAGCTGGAACGTTCTGCCACTCACAGCGGGGCCGTTGGTAAGAAAACAAAAAATTCTGAAAGAATGTCAGCGGCTTCTTTTGTATACTTTCACCTTTCCACGTCGGCTGCACTCGTTGTACTTAATTTCTGCAGTGACGATGAAGCGACCGTGAACAGCGGTTTAGTGTTCACGCTGCGCCCGTACTGCCAGCGGCACGGCTTCGTACTGTCGGGTGATTTGCGCGAGCTTGTGACGTCGCGTACGCCGATGATGTATGTTCGTCGCTGGTTGTTAAGCAGCTGCAGCAGCTGT